GATCTCTAAGGAGGTGCTAATTTAGCCTCTGCCTGAGGCTACCTAGCAGGAGCTCAGCTGTGAAGCAATGCAAGTTGCCATGGGGCCTTGGGCCAGCCTCAAGTTTGTTAGGTAATTTTCAGATTGCAAAGGGCCAGGCCTTTCATATGCAAAAGCCAGTGCACAGCTTGGGTGGGGCGGGGGTCCCAGGGGTTAACAGGGCGGAGCAAGCAGCTATGGCTGCCCTCTGAGGCCCCGATTCTCAGTGTCCCGGCAATCACTGCAAGCACCTCCAAGAGAAAGCTGCCCTCGAGTTCTGACTGATGCCAGACAGTCCCATTTCTCCTGTGTGAGTCTGGGTCCCCAGAGACTCACCCGGAACTGGAGCTCAGAGCTTGAGACTCCCTACCGATTGAAAAAGACAACCGTGTCCTCGGCCACCAGCCCTCTCCGGGTGTGCCTCCGTACCTCTGTACTTTACTTTCGCACCGCAGCTCCTCTGAGTCTCGGTATGCTTTTCTCTTTCCTTCTAGTTGTAGAATTTCCACTCAGCCAGCCTTCCTGTGGTTCTGGATGATGTTCGTTCTGTCTTTTAGTTGTATTCTTGAAGTGGTTGTGCTAAGCAGCAATCCCCGGTGTTTACCTATTGCTATTGTGCATTTTAACTATAAAATTTAACAATATAAGAATTTTGCTGACTTTGTGTAATGAATAGACCTGATTTTGGCATTTTAGGAATAATCCACACATAAAACTTTTGAGTAATTAAACTGTTGTTAAAATATTTCAATATGAAAGTTCACTGTTGATGGTGGACAAGCTAATCATAATATTTGTTTTCTCCATTGTCATTCTAAAAATGGAATTAACATATTTATGTATTTTTTCAACATTACTTTATAGTCAGGCTTTCTTTTTGTCATATAAATTATATTGATTTTTTAATAAACAAGGTTGACTGTATTATAAACAACAGTAATGCTAATATAAATATTGCCAAGAAGATTATAAACCATGGTGACTGAAGTATAGGTAATGTTGATGGCAATATAAACAATAGGATACAATTTAAATAATGCTTATGCTAAAATCAACACTTTGGGACACTTTAAGTTCTGACCAATAGAATTTTTAAAGTAGTTTATAAGACTTGGCCAAGTTTAATATTTAGATAAATAATTAATCAAACTCAGAATTTTATGGCCACTGCAGTATTTATCGAATGTTTATTTAAGTAGTAATGTGAGTTTTAAATTCAAAATTTTAGATTTCAGTTCTATGTAGAGCTCATTACTCTTGAATATAATTTGAAAACACAGCTGCTTTCTTTTTGTACTCTGAGGTGAAAATAAAGGCTTATTTCTATTCACTAGAATAGACAGATTTTAAAAAATGAATATGTATTTGGCCTAATCCAATTGTTTTCACATTATGTTACTTATCTATAATAATAAAAGCGTAATATGCTAATTAGACCGGACAGCCGAACGAGCTTCTGGACGTCATTCTGAACGTCCTTCCTGCGGCAGCAGGGGCTGAGGCAGAGGGGTTAGGGGCGATGAGGCAGGCAGGCAGAGGCGGTTAGGGGCAATGAGGCAGGCAGCAGGCAAGTGAGCGGCAATTGGGCAGGCAGGCGAGTGGTTAGGGGTGATTAGGCAGGCAGGCAGAGTGGTTGGGGCAATCAAACCGGCAGGTGAGTTATTAGGGGTGATCAGGCAGGCAGGAGGACATCCCCCAAGGGATCCTGGATTGCGAGAGGGTGCAGGCCAGGCCGAGGGACCTCCCCCACATCCCCATGCATGAATTTTGTGTGCCGGGCCTCCAGTGTGTTAGATATTCTTAAAGGGGAATGGGAAGATGTTGAAATCTAAAGAATATGAACTTATATTGAAACTGTGGGCTTACATATACTGTACTGTTTATGGTGTATTTCTCTTAGATCTGAGAATTGGTATTATGTACTATGTTGGGGCTTCATGAAAGATGCTTAAAGGTTGTGTTAATGGTATCTAAAGAGAGCATGCTTCATATTTTTTAGTAAAATGCCCTCAAAGTATATATTTTGGTGAAAAGTGCCTTTATTTTATAATAGACAGTCTTCACAAAAACCATGTAAATGCCTTTAGTTATTTGAATATAAGACAAAATATTATACTTGTGAATAGATTTCTTTTGTGAGGCATATCTTTTTTAAAAAATATATTTTATTGAATTTTTACAGAGAGGAAGGGAGAAGGATAGAGAGTTAGAAACATCGATCAGCTGCCTCCTGCACACTCCCTACTGGGGATGTGCCCACAACCAAGGTACATGCCCTTGACCGGAATTGAACCTGGGACCCTTCAGTCCGCAGGCTGACGCTCTATCCACTGAGCCAAACCGGTTAGGGCATGTGAGGCATATCTTAAAGTACTCATCAAGAGCAGGCTGCTAAAGTAAAATATAATTACAATATGTGTTGCTTAATTTTTTAAAGCACTCAGTGCCCTATACATAGTTGGTATGCAAATAAAATTTGTGGCTGCTTGCTTAATGGTTCCTTTTTGTTTACACTTGAAACATACAAAAAAAGATGAGTGAGTTTTGCCAGCCACTTAACAACTGCTTCTAAAGTATAGTCGTTAGTATTTCGGACTCATTCTGTAAATATATTTTGTTAGTTCACAGCAAGTACACTGGATGACGTCAAGAACTCTGGCAGTAGTAGTATCTTACCGGACAGTTCTGTGCGAAGTTCTGAAATACCTGCTGTGCAAGGGGATACAGTGTGTGTTTCAATTAATCAGCAAGATGACTCACCTCCTTTGCATACAAATGAAGAGAGATTTTCAGCAGAGAAAGCAAGGATAGAAAGTGAAATGGACTCTTCAGATATTTCAAATGTGAGTGCTGCTAACTTGGTAAGAACAACTTATCAGAATTATGAGTGAATTCATTAAAGCGATAACCTATTATTAGGCATAAACCCCAATAATAAATTGTATTATGTATTATTTTACCCTTTACAAAGCACTTTTTTTTTACAAAGCATTGTACGTATGATTTTATTTTAACATTTTACTTTTATCAAACTTCTTGTTTTGTAGAGGAAAAAAATGAGAATGTGAGAGTTAAAAAACTTGCTCAAAATCTTTCCGTTTGTATGTGTTTTTTAGTCTAGCATTAAGAAACTGAGTCGATAGCAAGTCTTGCATGCAAATGCAGCTCTCTGATAGGTGGGAAATGGTGCATGCTGAAATGAGTGTTAAAAGCTCTCTTTACAGACTTCAGACAGTGCTTGGAGGCGGTGTTCAAGATGAAATCTATGTATCATTCCCATTGTAGATTCAGTAAAAATGTGTTGATTTGTGATTATTTATAGGTTTATATTTTTGGATGAGTACTTCTCATATTTTCCTATTTCCCACATTAGTATTAAGATACTAGATCTGAGGATAATCCAGAATAGGTCATGCTAGTTTTGTTTATAAAGTAACTTTCTGAAGAAATAAGCATATATAAAAAGTTGTTGCGAAAAATTATTCGAATGTGCTTTTCTAAATGGCCACCATCCTATATAATAAAAGGCTAATAAGCAAATCGATGGAACGGCAGAACGACCTGTCGCTATGACGTGCACTGACCACCAGGGGGCGGACGCTCAATGCAGGAGCTTCCCACTGGTGGTCAGTGCGCTCCCCCTGTGGGGAGCTCAGCCAGAAGCCGGGTTCATGGCTGGCGAGCGCAGTGGCCGTGGTGGGAGCCCCTCCTGCCTCCGTGGCAGTCGGACATTCCCCTGAGGGCTCCCGGACTGGGAGGGATGATCCCCCTGCCCCAGTGCAGGAATTTCATGCACTGGGCCTCTAGTATACTATAATTTCTTTAAAAACTTAGTGCCTCCAGGCTGTTTCCATTTACATCTGTTGGCCAAACCTTAAATACATGGCCCCACCTAACTGACAGCCTAACTAGTCTATCTGTCTCCACTTTCAAATCCTCCTAGGTCATTGTCATTATAGTTATCAGTTCAAAGCGCAGGTTTAATTAAATTATTTTCTTGTCCCATAATGGTCAGTGAGTCCCTATTACTTGCAGATTAAGTTCAAACCCTTTCACTTACTATGATACGAGTTTCCTCCATAACCACTTCACCTCGACCGCCCTCGTCTTTCCAACTTCTTTACTCCCCTCAACTGGCCATTTCCTGAACACACATGAGCTTTCAGTTCTCCCTCACTTCTCTCATAACAGACCCTCCACCAGGATGATCTTACTAAAAGCCCATCAGCAACTTCTGAATCACATCACAGACTTCCAAACCTATCCCCAATGAAATTTCTTTTATCAACTCAGATTTCATCATTTCTATGAAAAATAACCTACCCGTTCTTTGAATAGTCACTTTGTTATACTGCCTTACATTATAATAAATTGTAAATGTTCTTATTTATAACTACATTCATATTGCAATTTACATGTTACTCACCTTTATAGTCCTGGGAATCCCAAGTCTCTGAGTCTTTACCTACCAGCTGCATAGCACATACTTATCCAGTGGAATTGGTGTGTGAGCACTGGATTTACGGAAAGAGAAAACCTCAGTCAGCTCTCTGTGGATAAACCCTCATTTAAATGGGATTAAACGCTCTATCAACAACTAGTATTATTCATTACATAATTGTCTCTAAGTCTATATGCACTCATTTGGAATTGCTTTGAGTGAATTGTGTTAACATACAAAGTTTAATGTGGATTTGCATCAGGAAGAACAATTTGTAAGAGCTATTTTCAGCTCTAACAAAGAAGTGACAGTTTTAAAATTTTAGGAGAAGTATTATAACTTATCTCAGTCAAACACTTGCTAGGTCATTTCGTTGTCACTTATGTTACTTTCTTTTTTAACTTCCAGGCCTATTCAGAAAAAATAAAAGAAACTTATAGTTTTGCTTGCTGCTAATTTTCTTGTGGCTAAGGTAGAAATGAAAATAGTTTCAATATTGAATTGTCTCTGTATTAAAATATTATAACATCTATTTCATATTAATCTTTTGTCCATGTTGGCCACTTTCATTAGCTCTTTATTAGGTTCAGGCAAGAAAATTATGGCTATCAAATTTGAAATAAATATTTGCAATTAAAAAAACTAGTGCCTCATCATACTGCAAGATGCTGTCAGCAGATGATAATAGGCCAAATTATACTTCTGATAGAGAATAGCATTAGATACAGATGAAACCATATGGGTTAAGGGAGAAATAAGGTTGATAGTAACAAGAAAAAAAAATACTTAGATTCCTTTAATAAGGAATAAAGAATAATTTGTTTTAGTGTGAATGGTTTCAAAGGTTGAACATCATTATAGTATAACAAGTAGTGGATTTAATATATGGGGTAGAAATTGGTCATATTTAAATTTTTTCTTTTCATAGATATACAAATGATATATGCAGATATTTATTTGAAATTCACAGTGTGAAATAGTAAAACTTACATGTGGGTAATGGAATCATCACTTCATCCTTAAGGTCTCTCGTATGTAACGTCTTCTCAGGTCTTCAGAGACTAAATGGAAATGTACTTGGGGCAAGATACAATTGAGGAAATGGGCTCATGTGTGAACTTACTTTTTGTGAAGTTAAATATTTCAGCTTTACTATTTGTATTTTTTAAATATATTTTATTGATTTTTTACAGAGAGGAAGGGAGAGGGATAGAGAGTCAGAAGCATCGATGAGAGAGAAACATCGATCAGCTGCCTCCTGCATACCCCCCACTGGGGATGTGCCCGCAACCAAGGCACATGCCCTTGACCGGAATTGAACCTGGGACCCTTCAGTCCGCAGACCGACACTCTAGCCAAACCGGTCAGGGCTACTATTTGTATTTTTAAATTGCTATTAGTTGTAATATCTGTGTGGGACATAATAGCAGTCAGCTTCTGTATTCTAAGGTTTATAGAGAAAAACTTTATGATGTAAAGAAATAGACTCTCATCTAAACTCCCTCACCCCATTGTATTCCCAGGGAGAGTGGTTGTATGGGGCAGAGGGTAGAGAGACGAGGTGGGAAGGAGGAGGGGAAGCTTTCAAGGAGCTAGCAGAGCCTGGGTTCTACTCCCAACCCATTCATTTTTGAGCTGGGGCTAAGCATTTGCATTTTTAAATGCCTTTATTGAGGTATAATTGTTTTTTAGTAAACTTCACATATCTGAAATATGTAAACTGATAAATTTGGTATGTTTATAACTATGAAGTCATCTCTACAGTCAGGATAATGAACATACCGATTGCCCTAAAAGTGTCCACTTTCCCCCCTTGTCATGCCCACTTTCTGCCATTCCTTGTACCCCTTCCCAGGTCATCACTTTCCTGCTATCACTATTTATTAATTGGTATTTTCAGAGCTTTATGTCAGTGGAATAATGTAATCTTTGTGCGGCTTCCTTCACTCAAGCATACTTGTTTCGAATTTCATTCATGTAATTGTGTATTAGTTCTTTCTTTTTTATTGTCTTTAGGCCTATTCTGTTGTGTGCATGTAACACAGTATATTTATTCATCCATTCATTTGATGACATGTTTGAGTTTTTCCCAGGTCCTCTGTTACGAAGGCGCCATGAACATTTGTCTTTGTTTTGAACACATATTTTCATTTCTCTTGGGAAGACAGTGAGGTCACTTTTGTAGATAATATTGTCCAGGTCTCCTATGTTTTTGGTACTTGTTCTATCAGTCAACAGAGGGACATGGAAATATCTGAATATCACTGAGGAGCTATATTTGTATATGTATTTAGCTTACCATGGGGATTTATAAATTAATGATTCTGATCTATATTACTTGTAATACATATATCTAAGTTAGGTATCATCAACATTACATAAATTCTTTCTCTGTTTCCCTTATTGTAAAACTGGAGGCCCGGTGCACGAAATTCGTGCACTTGGGGGGGGGGGGGCCCTCAGTCCGGCCTGCGCCCTCTCGCAGTCCAGGAGCCCTTGGGGGGGGTCTGACTGACGGCTTAGGCCCACAGGGAGTGGGCCTAAGCCTGCAGTTGGAGATCACACTGACCACCAGGAGGCAGCTGCCCCCTGGTGGTCAGTGCACATCATAGTGACGCGTCTGTCCCCTGGTGGTCAGTGCGCATCATAGCGACTGGTCGTTCTACTGTCTGGTCGATTTGCATATTAGCCTTTTATTATATAGGATTATTATATAGGATGGTTTTCCTTAATTTTTAAGATATTTGATCTATAACTTTTGAATTTTTTTGCATGCAAATGAAATTGACACTGTCATTAATAATAATACCTGTTATTTATACAACTTCACAGTTTCTCATACACAGCAGTCTGGTAAGGAAGGTAAGTCATGGATTACTGTACCATGTTATGAAATACAAAATGGGCTCTTGCTTTTAAGAAACTTTCAAGTCACACAGCTAGCGAGTGGTTGAGCCTGTACTGGACCTGAGGTTTTATAATTCTAGAACAATGCTATGTTCTGTATACTGTTGAGTGTGTGATTAGAATATAAAGAGTGAGATAACTACTGAACTTGCCGGTCAAGTGGTGACTCTTCATGCTGTTTGTTTTTAACTTTGCAGTCCATGGCAGAAGTTCTTGCTAAAAAGGAAGAGCTAGCAGATCGCCTAGAAAAGGCCAATGAAGAAGCCATTGCTAGTGCTATTGCTGAAGAGGAACAGTTAACTAGAGAAATCGAAGCTGAAGAAAACAATGATATTAATATTGAAACTGACAACGACAGTGATTTTTCTGTGAGCCTTTAGAATTTTATAATTGTTCAAAAAAATATATTCAAAAATAAAATTCTTACTGCCAGAGTACCTAGAGTTCATCCAGTCCTATTTAAAATGACTTTTAAAATTATCTTCAATAACTGTATTATCATTCTGTGTGATTAAGACAAACAATAAATAATTGCAATTCTTATTTTAGCACTTTAACATTATTAAGAGTTTTTAGTACAATGCATTTGACAAGTTAGAAGTTATTTTCTTTTTACAAATCAAGAAATTGGATCTCAGAAAGTAAGAACTTAGCATTACTCATTGTAATTGCAGAGGTTGAAGAAGAATATAAGGCATTTTACTGTTTTTATTCTAATAAAAAGCAAACGATACGCTGCTTCGCTGTCACTAAGTGCTCAGCAGACTCAAGTATGTGGATGACAGGGATTTCTTTCCTTTTTTAAAAAAAATGTATTTTATTGATTTTTTACAGAGAGGAAGGGAGAGGGATAGAGAGTTAGAAACATCAATGAGAGAGATCGATCAGCTGCCTCTTGCACACCCCCTACTGGGGATGTGCCCACCACCAAGGTACATGTCCTTGACCGGAATCGAACCCGGGACCCTTGAGTCAGCAGGCCGACGCTCTATCCACTGAGCCAAACCAGTTAGGGCTCTTTTTTTAAAAATATACTTTTATTGACTTCAGAGAAGAAGGCAGAGGGAGAGAGAGAGAAATATCAATGATGAGAAAGAATCATTGATCAGCTGCCTCCTGCACGCCCCACACTGGGGATCGAGCCCACAACCCTGGCATGTGCCCTGACCAAGAATTAAACCATGACCTCCTGGTTCATAGGTCGATGCTCAACCACTGAGCCACACCTGCTGGGCGAGAGGGATTTCTTAAAGAATAATCTTGAGCTCTTCTAATGTCTGATCTGAATTTGTCAGGATGTATGTAGTACTTGTGTACTGTATTAGTATAGTATAGCATATTAGAGTGTGTTATGATGGTCTAGGCCAGTGGTCGGCAGACTCATTAGTCAGCAGAGCCAAATATCAACAGTGCAACGATTGAAATTTCTTTTGAGAGCCAAATTTTTTAAACTTAAACTATATAGGTAGGTACATTGTTAATAAAATTCAACTTCAAATTCATGGTTTTCATCTTCCGTTTTTCTTTGCTGCTTCTTTGTAGCCATCTCAAACAGGGCATCTAAAAAAATGTTTCATTTTCTAATAATAAAGCCACCAACACAAAATTCTTATATTGATGACAAAAATACCTTAGGATTTGCAGCTGGTTGGAATCATTGATCGGCTGCCTCCTTCCGGCCCCCTACTGGGGATCGAGCCCACAACCTGGGCATGTGCCCTGACTGGAATTGAACCGTGACCTCCGGGTTCATAGGTCAATGCTTAACCACGCTGGCCGGGCCCAATATGTTTCTTTTAAATTCACTTGATTTGTCTCTGCTATTAAATGACAAGTAGATTTGTCTTCCTCTTAAAGTGTTTACACTATGGCATTTTTAACTTGGTTATTATTGTGACCGTAAGAGGTATGTGCTTTATTCTAGTTTTGAGCTAGTTATTAGATGAAATGTACTAGCACAAGCTGGGAAAATTTCATATGCAGTTTACTTTTTAAGGTTATACTTGTGTTCAAATATTTGTTTTTGAATTTTCCTTATTACATTTTAGGCCAGCATGGGCAGTGGAAATGTATTTTTCTGTGGTATGTCTATGGACTGGAATGATGTCCTTGCGGATTATGAAGGTATTGTGTGTGTGTGTGTGTGTGTGTGTGTGTGTGTGTGTGTGTGTTTTGTGTACAGGTAGAGGGGTCTAAAGTAGATGATCTTATTACACAAACTTCTATGTAAAATAAAAAATTTAGAGTAAGAATGCTGATGCCTTTTAAAAGTCTGTTCTAAATGTTAGTTTTATAGAACTATGTGCTTAAACAGTAACAGTGGTTTTCTTTTTAATGAACAGCTCGTGAATCTTGGCGCCAAAATACATCCTGGGGGGATATTGTGGAGGAGGAACCTGCAAGACCTCCAGGACATGGAATTCACATGCATGAGAAACTTTCCTCCCCATCTCGCAAAAGGTCTGGCCTCAGAAAATTTAAAATACTTCACAGGAGGGAAACTAGCCACTCTCGACTGTTAAACAGAGTTGCCGAATAACATTTTAAGGCACATGACTCAGGACAGTTCAGATTCTTTGAAAAGTGACAGTGTTTTCCTGAAAAGTTAGACCGAAATTATTTTTGTGTACCTTTTGTATTTATTTTTAGAACTTTGAAGACAAAAGGAAATATTTTTGGTTTTATGATGTAAACATTCGTGTCGCCTGTTTATTTGCTTGTATTAATAGAACAATTGCAGAATCTAAGAAGAAACATGAAGAAAAACAGATGAAAGCACAGCAGCTAAGGGAAAAGTTACGTGAAGAGAAAACATTAAAGCTTCAGAAATTGTTAGAAAGGGTGAGTTTTTAATATTTAGGAAATTATGATAGCCTTAAATTGATGGGCTTCTTTTCAAATTGAACTTTTCTTATGGTCTGAGAGAAGCTAAAAGAACTATAAAAACAATGAAATATTCTAGGAAACAAGGTATTTATGTCAGTTGGATTACAGAAGGTTACCTGTAAAAAGAATTTTTAATTCCTAAATTAGCTGGTAAATTCTTGTTTTGCAGCGTTGGCATGGATTATTTTTGCCATTTTCGTTGCTGGGCTTCCTTGGGGAGTCTTGTGCAAAGTGTAGAAGACTTGGTAGGACAGTTTTGAGCCTCATATTGTGAAGTTTGAATAAGTGGGGCAGTAATGAGAATTATAGGCGAGATTCTTTTTTTTATCTTTAAATTCTTTATTAGTTAAGGAATTACAAATGTGTCATCATCCCCCCCATTAACCCCCCCCTCCCCCCCACTCATACTCTCATCCCCCTGTTGTCTGTGTCCATTGGTTGGGCTTATATGCGTGCATACAAGTCCTTTGGTTGATCTCTTCCCCTTACCCCCACCCTCCCCTACTTTCCCTCTGGGGATTAATAGTCTGATTGCTGTTTCTCTGTCTTTGGATCTGACCCTGTTCATCAGTCTATGTTGTTCTCTATATTCCACAAATGAGTGGAATCATGTGGTATTTATCTTTCTCTGACTGGCTTATTTCACTTAGCATAATGCTCTCCAGTTCCATCCAAGCTATTGCAAAAGGCAAGAGTTCCTTCTTTTTTACCGCAGCGTAGTATTCCATTGTGTAGATGTACCACAGTTTTTTATATAGGCGAGATTCTTAAGAGTATTTAGAGCAGTGTTACTTCTGATCAGTGTGGCATAGTGGAAGGAACATGGACCCTAGTTGGCCAACCAGGCCAAATCCTGGTTTTGCTACGTAAGATACGGTGCCTGGAGCAAGTTACTTTAACAATACTGGTTTCAGTTTGTTTATCTGTAAAGTGAAATTGTAATTATTAACCTGTTGTGGTGATTAAATGTGGCAAGTGTGTAAAACAGTAGCACGCGTCTAGGATGGGTGTTGGCTGCTGCTCAGTTTGTTGTTACCTGCATGTGGAAGATGTAGCTGAGTACTGTGTTAGTTATGTTTTCTGTGTAACAAATGCCCTCAAAACTTGGCAGCCTACAACACACATTTATAGCTCACAGCCTCTGTGGGCATGGGAAGGGGGTGGCTTGCCTGGTGACTTCTGTTCAGAGTCTCTCACGAGGTGTAGTCACGCTGTCGGCTGGGGCAGCAGTCGCTGGAGCTGATGGATCCACTTCCAGCCTCCCCTGTGGTTATGGCAGCTTCAGGTCCTCTCATCAGCTGGCTGTAGACCAGCCGTGGGCAAACTACGGCCCGCGGGCCGGATCCGGCCCGTTTGAAATGAATAAAACTAAAAAAAAAAGACCGTACCCTTTTATGTAATGATGTTTACTTTGAATTTATTTTTATTTATTTTTTTTTTGAAATATATTTATTTATTTTTCTTTTTTCTTTTTTTATTGCTTAAAGTATTACAAAAAAAAGACACCCTTTTATGTAATGATGTTTACTTTGAATTTATTTTTATTTATTTTTTTTGAAATATATTTATTTATTTTTCTTTCTTCTTCTTTTATTGCTTAAAGTATTACAAAGGGTATTACATATGTGTCCTTTTTTTCCCCGCCCTTGACAATCCCCCGGCTTCCCCTACCCCCCAGTGTCTTATGTCCATTGGTTATGCTCATATGCATGCATACAAGTCCTTCGGTTGATCTCTTACCCCCCTCCCTCCTGC